ACAAGGTAATGGCGAAAACAATTTTGTGAGAGTTTTTTTTTTTCTTTCTTTCTTTTTTTTTTCCTGAGACAGGGTTTCCTCTGTGTTGCTTTGGAGCCTGTGCTGGAACTGTCTCTGTAGACCAGGCTGGTCTCTGAACTCACAGAGATCCAGAGATCTGCCTGCTCTGCCTCCCAAGTGCTGGGATTAAAGGCATGCGCCTCCAAAACCCAGCTCAATTTTATGGTTTTAATACATGAGGAACTGTATTAAAGGGTCATTAGGAGTATTGAGAAACAATGATTTAGGTAATGAACTCAAATTGGCAGGCTCAGCAGCAAGCACCTTTACCAACTGAGCCAGCTTGCCCCTTTTTATTGCCTTTTAAAAGAGATATGTAGATTGCCATGATATATGTGCCAGTTGTCAGATAACTCAAGTGAATATTACCCCCAGATGGATGGGAAGGAACAGTTACTCAATACATTTATTTAAAGTAAGGCATCTTACACTAAGATTCCAAAAGAGGGCCAGAAACAAAGCTCAGCACATTTTAAAAGCACTTGCCACCAAGCCAGTACCCATATACTATAAAGAGAGAAGCAGTTCCCACAGTTGTCCTCTGCCCTCCACACACATGCAGCCACCAGCGCACTACACACTATCACACAAAATTAAACAGTTTAATTAATAGGGACAATAATAACAATTCAAAAGGATTTTAAAAACCCTGAAGAGATTGAGTGGCATCATGGATTACATAGTTTAAATCAAATCCTTAACTTTTCAGACCCAAAATGTTCATTGAACACAAGCCTGAGCAGAAATGAGTCCAGAGGACATGAGGACAAAACTTTGCATTTAGAAATTGCAGAGCAACAGAGAACAGGAAACCATTTCATAAGAAGAAGGAACGTGCAGCTTTTATGTCCATCATATTAGCATTGGTTTTTCAACACATTCCTTCTGTGCAGCCCTCTGCCTTCACTGAGCAGTAGCTGAATACCTGATGTGTCTAGACCCCGTCATCTTCAAAGGCAGTGTGTACTACTCTAAGTAAAGCATGGTTGAGAAATGTATAGAGAATCAGCTTCCATATACACAGACTGCATACATATTCTTTTCTTAACATTTGACCACCCTGCTACCCCCTATTTTCTTGTCCCTCTCCTCCCAAAATAATCCTTTTTCACTGTGTAAAAAGGAGACATCTTGTCATCTCTGCCAGTGACATATTAAATGTACTCCTGTGGTGACATAGGAGATCTGTCATTCCCCGAATGTTAATAAATAAACATTAGCTATGGTCCCCAGGATATTCACAATGCTTTAACTAGACCAAAGTCATTTGAGCCTCAACTTCCTCACTTGTAAAGTAGTGTTTATAATAGTAACTGTACGCTCAAAACATATAACGTATAAAAGAACTATTGTAATGCCTATTGTGTATTTATAGCAATGTATCCAATGTTGATTGTATATGTTATCTATAGAAGTTGTTCTATGATTTCCAGCAATTGAAATGCATGAAATCTTTTCTCTGCTTCCAGTTGGAGAATGGCAAGGGAGTTAGTCAGTAATGTCTCTTTACTGTGTTTCAATAGCATTAGTGCTTTATAAATGCATGTTGGTTCACAATACTAACTGGCTTGGATTGCAGCTAGCACCACAGCCTCTAGTAAACTGGCTTAGTTGAAGTACAAGATGACAGTGAAAAAAAAGAGTTTGTTTGAGGACCAGCGTCCTTCTTGGTTCCATTCAGAGTCTTTATTTGACTTGAATTCTGAACAAAGAACTCTGGTTGGAATTTCATTTTGAGTTTTATCTGGGGGATGGTCAGTTTATTTAAGTGTAGTTTGGCTGAGTTGTCAAAAAGATGCTCTATGTATCTGAAAGCAGCAAATGCTTTGGATGGTCCTGCAGGGTTAAAGGCTGCTGGTTATGAGTGACCTCTCAGAGAAGGGGCAAGAGCTCAACTGGAAGGTTTTCGGGGAAAATGGCTCTCCTAGCCTGTATGTTAGATTGTCAGTCAGTTTTCTCATTGTGTTCTTTTGACATTTTTATACTTACATTTGGTGAAGGAGACCTGAAACCAAGTTTAAATTGGGAAGAGAAACATATTCTTAAATAGCCAATACTTATTTCATATATGCATAGGAGGGAAACTATAGGGTTTTGTTTTTACAGATTTTCTTTCCTAATATATAGAATTTCTTATCTATTCTTGATTCACTGAGAATTTTTGTCTTAATCAGAAATAGATGACTATGGAATTTGGCAAATGTTCTTTAGTAGATGTTGAGATGATTCTGTGTTTAATGTGGTCAGTGTTGTTGAGAGCTAATCAAACCTTGCATTTCATGAATAAAATCCATTTGCATATTATGTACAATAATTCTTTGAAGAGATGACTGACTTTTCTTTCCTATTGTTTTTAGAATTTTTGCATCTACATTGCTGATTAAAATCAGTCTCCAATTTTCATCTACAATCTCTTTGATTTGGGTTAGCTAGAAAGCTCTCCTGTGTCTTCAGTTGTTTGTATTTCTACATAATTGGTATGACTTCTTTAAAAGTTTCAACTTACCACTGAATTATTTTCAGGGTGAACATTACTCTCAGTTTAAATTAGTTTGGATTATCTTTTTCTATTGCAGTAGCTTTGGGGATTTTCACCTTTTGAGTAATGGGCCATTGTTCCATTTCATCTGAACTTCAAGTGCAAAGGCATAAAGCTGGTGGTTTTGCGTTCTTGAAGTCAGAGGGATCTGAGCTAATGTTGCCCTTTCATTCTCCACTCCTGATAAATCGTCTCACCTTTCCTTTGCCATCGCTACACTGTGAGGGATCTAACAGAGGGCTGCATGCATACTTGGCAAGTGCTGTACCATCAAGTCCTATGACCCTGTGCCATCTTCCTTGTTTATGATCAGTAAGGCACTTTAACAGTATCACTAATCTTCTCAAAGATTCAACATTTAGTGACATTGTTTTTTTCCTATTGTCTTATTGATTCCTCCTCTGGTTCACCCACACAAACGTACGTCTGCCTGCACAGACATGCACCTCCTGCCCCTCACTTTGGCTTTAATGTTTGTTGTCATCTGTTTTGCTCTTGATCTTTTGATTTTTAAATTAGAAATTAAATTCATTGATTGGAGACCTTTTCCTCATCTCTAATGTAGGCAATTAGACTTTCACTGTTTGCTTCCTTAGTGGTATTTAGTGGTACGTAGAAATTTTTGAAACATTGTGATTTCTTTTTTATTCAGTTAAGATACTTCAGTATTTCTCCTTTGGTTTCTTCTGTGATCCAGGAGTATTTAAAATTCTCCTATTTAGACTGCAAATACTTAGAGGCTTTCATGGGTGTTTCTCTTACTGGTATCTAACTTCATTCAACAGTATTTAGAGACCATAATCCACATGGCTTGTATGTAAAAATATTTTTTGAGACAGGGTCTCATTCAGTAGCCTAGCCTGGCCTTAAACTCACTATGCATCCCAGACAAAGGTACTAACAAAGAGCAAGTCTGAAGCCTCAGTCTCCTGTGTGTTGGGATTATAAGCATGTGCTACCACACTAGCCTATTGAGATGTCTCATATGTTCCAGAGTATAGTGCATGAAAGATGCATTTCTGATTTTGTTCTTTAGATATGCATTAGGCTAACATGATGGATCATATGCTTCAAATCTTTATCACTGTTTTTCTGTCCACATGTTAAATATAATAGGACCTCAAAATGAATCATAAATACAATTGCCCTTCTCCTTGTATGGCTCTGCTTGTGTTTAATGTATCATGGATTTCCAGATTTACTGCTATGAATCCTTATCTTGTTAGGGATCTTTTTTTCTGGGGTCTTTAATACTGATATAGTATTATTATTCAGCTGTTTCTTTGGACATGCATTTTGCATACACACATTTTCATTTTGTCATCATTTTTTAAATATTTATAAACAAAGTACAGGTGTGTCTTAGTTTTCTGTCTACTTTTTATCCCTTTTATTGAGATGTGCAGTCTGTAAACATTTAAATTGACTTTTGACAGGATTAAGTTTAAATGTTTTATCTTGCTGTTATTTTTTTATTCCTTTCATTATTTTTATTTTCCTTCTGGCTTTGGGGGACTAATAGATATTTTATATAATTTGTTCTTCCACCTGTTGTTGGTGTGTTGTGTGTATTTCTTTGTTCCATAATTCTAATGATGTTTTAGCCGTTAAATATTGAGTCTCACCACCTAGTCCCATTACATAATAAAATAACAGATAGCTTTCACAGAACTCTTGTGCTTGGTAGTGTGCATGAAGTGCTTGCACAGTTGCAAACATACATGTCTCACACCTGATGTAGTGAGATGCTAATCATCACCAGGTCTAGATGCCAATATGTACCTTTTCAGGTCCAGATGAGTAAATGTAAGCTCTCTTTTCTCTTCTGTCAGTGGGATACCAATGGATTGTTTTGTATGTTTTCCTCTTATTTTCCAATAGTTTCTCTCATTAAGAGTTAGAATACAGGGCTGTGAAGAGGGTTTAGTTGGTAATTTGATTGCTGCACAAGCATGCACACTAAGATAGCCCATGGGAAGAGCCTGGGGTGGGGGCACACATCTGTCATCCCAGTGCTAGGTGGCTGGAGACTGAAGAATCCATGATGTTTGCTGGCCAGACAGTCAAGCCAAATCAGTGAAGTCCATGTTCAATGAGAGATTCTTTCTCAAAAATCAATATAGAGAGCACCTGAAGAAGACAGCCAATGATCTTTGTAAACATACAATGAAAATGTCTACAGCTATGCAAAATGCACACACACACACACACACACACACACACACACACACACACAGAGGTATTAAAATATCTAAGAAATGATGGATACTCTCAAGCTGGCAGGAGAAGTAGGTCAGATTGCTGTATTGCTGTAGGAGTTTGTACTGAGATGCTTTATTATTCATTTGAATACTGACCATCAGCCAGAGCTGATCTCTCTCATGACATTTGTGTTATACAGTGCCTTGCTACTTGGGAATCATTCCTCACATCACAGACTGACCTTCCCTTGGAAGAGGACTCTGAAGATAAAATTTAATCCTATTGACAACTCCTGTATGATCTTTGAGAGACAGTGTCTATCAACCAAAGTTGTTTTTTTCTGGATTGGCTGTGCCCTTTATAAAGTGGATGACAAATGATTTTGCCCTGGCTGGAAAACCAACAACTTACAAACTCAGGTATTCCAGGTCATCAACGTGAATTTGTGATATAAATATATCTACCTAGATATATAGATCTGTTATATGATGTATATTCTATAGATCTATAGATCTGTTATATGGATAGATATTTATCTATGTCTATGTGGATAGAAAGAGATTTAGTGTGTTTTAATTTTGTTCTTAAATTTATGTGCCATTAATTGCATATAGAGGTTTTTTTTCTTACATATTTGACTGTGGAACATTACATTTTTCAATATGTTGTAAAGACTTGGTTTTAATAAAATCTTTATTAAGAAGTTGGTGTCTATGATGTGTTATTTTTCTGTCAGAGGTCAAACCTCTGAAACAGTTTTTAATGTTGATTCAGTATGTATTATTAAGGATATTTTGCATGTGCTTTAATCATAATTTACTTTGATACTGAGAATTTGAAATAAATATAAAAAATGCTTGAACATTAATAATAGTTGCTTAATTTTTTATTAAAAATTAAGTAGTTGTTTTCAGCAATGTAAAAATTTTCCAAAGTAGGCTTTAAATTGTTATTTGTCTTATTATTTGGAAATCCTCATATAACCTCATTCATACTAACAAATGGATTCTCTGTTTTGGTAGTTGTTTGCATATCTTTATAAGTCACATCCAGCTTTTAACTTTTTAAGGCATACAGCATCTTGAGTTTATCTATGACAAGGCTGTGCTGTGGTGCTTGTGAGCCACAGTGATGAAGAATGTTGAGTGTACTTTACAGTTGGCACGTGGCTCTTTCAGAAATGACTTGCCAAAGCACAGAATGCCTTCACTTTCTCAAAGCAATTAGTTAAAAAAAAAAAGGAAACCATAGTTTGAGTAATACATACTAGTAAATATTACATGGAATCAATGAAAATCATACTATATTTAAAAGCAGCTGTTATAGAAAACAATTCTAACTTATGTAATTGCTTGGAGGCAGAAAGTTCAGTTCTTTCTGAAGAGTCCACTTCCTTTTCCTGCAGGAAAACTCAAAACATTTTACCTTAACTAACCTTAATCAAAACAGAAGATTTGAGACAGGTTCTCACTATGTCATCCTGACAGGCCTGGGACTTGCTATGTAAGTTAAACTCTCTAAATTCACAGAGATACACCTGCCTCTGCCCCTCAAGTACTGGGTTACTCCATTGGTAGAATGCTCATCTTCCATTCACAAGGCCCTGGTTCAGTCATTAGCACCACATAAAATGGTGAGGTGGTGCAAACCTATTATCCTAGCACTTAAGGTGGAGGCGGAGAATCAAGACTTTCTTTGAAGGTAACCTTTGGCTACATAGCAATTCTGAAACTAGCCTTTACTACATGAGACTCTGTTGCAAATATATCATACACACACACACACACACACACACACACACACACACACACACACACACAATCTTATTTGTTGGGAAGGCAAGGGTGAGGTTTAGCATCTAACTTGGAAGCACTGTTAAGCCTGTTCTGTTTTCAGATATGGAATCCTTTGTTCATTGCTTGTATTTCTCCTCCTTTCTATCTGTTGAGTTTGGTTTTTAAGACAAGGTCTCAGTTTGCAGCTCAGGATGGTCGGGAATTTGGAATTAACTGAGTAGGAAACATTATTTGGTGTGTTTTTCCAAAAGCAGATGAACACAAAGGGGTATCCCAGTATATCCCTCCCACAAACACATTTTAAACAGAAAATCACGACTTGTAGATATTCCCAAGAATAAGCACATGCACTCACAAGTAGGCTTTCTTTTACCAACCGTGACTACCTTGAAGGTAAGTTTATGTCACTCTAGAACCTGGAATGTGCTGAGGATGGCACATATGTGATAACTGACTTAACCAAAAACACCCTTTATCTTTATCCAAAATCCACTATTGCTAATTTTGACAGTTGTGTAACTTTTCATATGCCATAGATAAATCTATGCTTCGATCAAAACCTGTTGATTGATTTTTTTTTTTTTACTGCTGTCTGGGTTAATTTTCTCATATCTTTCTCTAATTTTATGTTTGTGTTTGTTTTGGGTTTTGGAGACAGGGTTTCTATGTGTAATCCTGGCTGTCCAGAAATCACTCTATAGACCAGGCTTGTCTTAAACTCAGATCCCCTTGCCTCTGCCTCCTGAGTGCTGAGAATATTATGTTTGACAAAAGAACAAATGAAACTAAAAAGGGAGAGAATTCATTCACTCCTGTACCCAAAAGGAACTGGACAAATTGTTTCTGAGCATCCCTGTTTTACTTCTGTCTTTCTCCTCACATCTCTGATATTGGTTGGTACCATTGTTTCTCCTTTCCATGAGGTTAAATCTGAGATTCTCATCTGGGAGCCATTTTGATCCTCGGAGGACATTTAGCAGAGCACAGATGTATTTTTAGTGGTCACACTGTAGGGAGGAGATGCTCTTGGCATCAAATAGACTGAGGCCAGAGATGCTGCTAAATGGAACACCCTGCAATACGCAGGATAGCCTTTGACAATGAAGAGTCAGCTCACAGAAAATGTGAGTAGAGTTGAGATTCAGAAACTTTGTTTAAAATGGAATGATTCTTCATTGCTCACTGCTTCCCACTTTGTACAGAAAAAAAAAGTTTCCCTTCCAGTTTCAAGTCAGGTGAAAATTCCCAGGGCAAAACTGGTTTGGGGGAAATAGCCAAGGCCCTTATCATCTCCACCATCCCTGCCTGCCACAGGTCATTGCTTGTGTATAGGGACCAAGGTCAGCTCATCTTTCTAACCAAATACAGCAGATAGGGATGTTATGGCCAAATAAAAAGTGGACAGGTTTGTGAGACTACATGATAAACATTTGTCATCCAAAAGACAGGGCATTGTTACCCACAAGAAAGAAGAATCTTGGTCCTGGAGCAAAGGCTCAGTAATTGCTCTTTCTGAGGTCTAGAGTTAGCACAGCAACCTGTGGCTCCAGTTCCAGGGCATCTGACACTCTAGTGCTCTTGCCATTGAGAGCACTAGAAACACACCTGGTACACATGCATAGACTTGGACAAATACACACATAAAATAAAATAAAAACAAAAGGGTAAAGTAATCACATCACATGTCCATAATACAATTTTAAATGAACATGATCTCTGTAGAGTTGCATTACACTTACTTAATTAACACTGTCCTTATGCCTGAAGAATTCAGCAAGCAAGGACTAATGTAAAGATGGCTCTTCAGAGAACGTGGATGAGAGATTACAAGTGTAAATAAGCCATTAGTGCAGTACCTGTAATTACACAGAAAGTCAGTCATAATTTTATTGGCAAGAAATAGCATGAGAGTATGAAATTAGAGCTGTTAGTGTGCTCGTCTATATTAAGAATAACCTTTACATTAGAGTTGATTGAACATGAATTTAGTATGCAAAATTCATTCCTGTACTAACTACTGAAATGAGATCCCATTGAGACACATCCCTGTGGAGAAGATAATGAATGATAAGGCTGTGATCTTCTCTTTAACAAATAGGTTGAGCTGTGATTATATTACCATGAAAGGAATATAGAGGCATGGCTACATTCATTATTCCCTAAAGATCAAGTTCAAGCTACTATTTACAGAAGGTTCAAAGTCATGAAATTTTCTGTGGTTAGAGATTTTATTTTTCTAGTTGTCTTATGCCACATTAGTGCCCAAAAGTTTAATGGCATTTAAACACCTTCAGGTAAGTATCTATACAACTGCAACACTGATCCTTTAATGTGTCAATCAATTGCTGAACCCCATATTCATGTGATGTTTTGACCCCCTTTTACAATGCAACTCTTCATTCAGGTTGTGTGAGATGTTGTGAGGGAGGGGGCTCTGTTTTGGATTTTAGAAGCAGTGGGTTCTAATATGTCTGAAATGAAACCATCACAAGTACAACAAGAAACAAATTCACGGATAAAGCAGCAGTATTGTAGTCGTGTATAGTCTTCTATGTGACTATTTGCAAAGGACTTAATGAAGCATTGTCTCTTGCTTAATTTTTAAGCAGTGTCCATCATATTTCTTCTTCTTCAGAGTATAAAAGGGACAACCAATGATTTCTGACAACTGGAGAGTCACAAGAGCAATACTGGTATGACCTCTACAATATCTGGTCACAGTACCATCCCTCAGGAAGAGCTATTTGAATTTTGTCTTTTTACTGATCTGCTTAGTTGGATCATCCTAGGATGCTGGTGTTTAAGTGCCAGGACCTCACATTATTTCTATCAATCTTTAACAGATTACAAAAAATTCCAAGGGTCAGTGGTCCTTCCCTGTCTCTCTCATCTCACTCCTTGCACATTCTCCAGCATCGCCATAGTGTAGAGGTCTCTCAGTATCACACACCTTTGAAGGCTTTCTGACATTGACAAGTGGTCATCCAACCACAATGTTCTGATTCATTTCACCCAGGCAGAGGTTTCCATGGTCCACCACACAGTGATAGTAATTAAGTAATTAAGGATCATGTACTATTGTATTCATATAGCCAAACCTTACTGTATGTGATTTGTTTTGAAATTTTTCCCTCGGAACTACTTAGATGAGTGATTCTAGAATACAATGAGAAATTTGTAGTCTCTTTACCTGGAAAAATAAAAAGTAAGTGTCAGAGGGCCCCTTTGACAAGATTATAACGTGTGCTGGTATTTGGTCAATTGCTATGATTGTTTCTGAGAGTGTGTGCAAGTGAGTTTGTCACTGATGCTTAAAATGACAGTGATAAAATAGATTGTCCTCCCTAATTAATGTGGGCCTCATCAAATCTGCCAAATACCAAATAAACTACAACACATAAGTACAAAATCCTCCCATCTACTTTCTACTTGTCAGTTAATGGATGCATTGGCTATTCTTTTGTCTTTGGGCATGAATTATTAGCTTTTGAAAGATCCCTAGCTTGCCAGCCATGACCCTATCTATATTGTCTACTTTCCTTGGAGATAATTCCACATAAATCCTTTTCTCTTCTCACAACTTCCCACATTTTCTTTTTATTTCTTTCTCTTGCTTTGTTCTTTATTTTCTTACTTTTTTGAATTTAGAAAGGAAGGTTTCATTATGTTCAGGGCTAGCTTGGAACTCTGTCTACCTCCCAGTCTCCTGAGTTCAGCAACTATGGCTACATGCCTCTGTGCCTGATACCGACATTTATTTCAAAATTGGTCAAGGTAACCCAAAATTTCAGAATCTTCTATCTATCCTACCCTTCTTAATCAAGTCTATTCTACTTTTAAATATTGTTTTATCTTGGGCCCATGTCAGCTTAAGCTTGTAAAACTCAGGGTTTATTGGTCTGTCTGG